AAAAAAATAGAGGATGATTAGTAGCTCGGAGGTTAGGATCTCTCTCTCCCTTGCCGCTGGTGGGTGGAATGTCAGAGATGGTTTTTGATTGCGCTGGGACCAGTATTTATACCAACCTGAGGTAATGAAAAGGGGTGGAATGTAGAGGGGTTGAAGGTGGGGTGATGAAGTGGGGTAAAATTGGTTAAAGAATGAACGAATGTGAGATAACGGGTACTTAGGGAAAAAAAATGAAAAAAATGATGCTGGGAACGAACGTGGCATACTCGAAAACCTAGGATTAAAAAAAAAGAGCAAGTCTGTACGATAACTAGAAGAGAAAACAGAAATTGAAAGAAAGATAGAATTTATAGTGCGGGAAATAAGTAAAGAAATAAATAGAAAATAAAAAAAGGAAATAGATGTCTAGACAAAAAACCAGTTAATGAAAAAAAGAAAAATATTAAAAGAATTGAATAAAATTTAGTTTTCGAAATATGCCTCATGTAGGGGTTGTTGTTGGTAACGGTGAAACTTGTCGGACGGGTTGATAAGGGAAGTAGGTAGGTAAACATACCGGTCGACGAGTCTGGGTTTCGTGGAACAAATTTTGCATGTACTTTCCTACCAGGTACAACAAAAGAAGGAAAACAGTAGGCGCTGTATTTTGATGCATAATATCCGCGTTGAATAGAATGTACCTACTACGTATATGGTGCCTTTCCCGACAATAAGTTTTCAATTGTTCAAGGCCTTTTAAGAAACATTTGCCAATCGTAACTTTTTTTTACATTATTATGAGCATATATTATGTTGAAGTTCGTTTAGAAAAAGTTTTTATCTTATGTAGCCAGGGTAATTGTCCCATACGCAAAGGAACTAATGGCGTCACTTATAACCAAGGTTACAATTATATCGTACAAACGTATACAATAAGTTATTTATACAGTTACAATGTTTAATTTTAAAAAACAGTACTTGTACCTATTAATTATAAATTGTAAAGTTTCGGAAATTAAAGTACATTGTTCGAAAAGGTTTTCGAAAATTTAGAAAAAATTTTTACAGTTTAAAGAGGTTTTATCTTAGGTGACGTCTTTGCCGATTGTGTGCATCGATTGTTGATTCTTTTTTCTTTGTTGAACAGGTCTTGTCTTTAAATTTTAAGAAAATATATGTATAAGGGTAGAAAATTGGGGATGATTCCCATTTTCAAATTTTTAGAATATAAACAAAGTAAGTACATATTCATTACAAATGGTGAAAGCTTTATAAAGACATCAGTTTTCAAAACAAACTAAAGAAAGAAATGAAAATTATTGAGAGCTGTTACGAGATCGCGTAAGGTTTATTTATAAAACAAGAAATATGTGGTGCATTTATAGCACATTCAAAAAATTTATGTTTTCGCCTTTATTTCAATATTCTGTAAGTTTTTCCATTGTCCCTGATATTCACACAATATAATTTTCTAAATGATCATCTAAAATTGTTAATAGAAATAATACGCTGGTTTTAATTATTCAATGGGCTAATAATTGAAAATATTACAGAATAATATGTTAAGAATCCGAACTGTAAGTACTATTTTATTGTCACCCCACAAAGCTGAATCGTTACTTCGTGGTCGTTTGTATTCGAACTCGCTATTATAGTAGAATCCGCTTATAATGACATCGAAGGAAAATGACAAATACGTCATACTAAGCGAGCATCATACAATGCATAGTCTTAGAAAATAAACAACTTTCTATTTTGGTTAGATATTTAGTTTAATAGATAGAAGAACTACAAATTGTATATATTTATTAACAGAAAAAATGTGCCATGTGCTATACTACCGACAAAGGTATCGTCGAAATTTGGACGAATTACGACTGGTTAAGTATAAAATCGTTACTTTTCCGTTACTTTACCAATCAATTTATTGGATGTTGTTAAGAAAGTATGCTACTGGAGGGTAGAAAGTGATATAAAAACAAAAGACGACACGTCATCGGTGCACTAAGTTTATTTGGTATGGACACTAATTATATACTATATACAAANCCACAAAGCTGAATCGTTACTTCGTGGTCGTTTGTATTCGAACTCGCTATTATAGTAGAATCCGCTTATAATGACATCGAAGGAAAATGACAAATACGTCATACTAAGCGAGCATCATACAATGCATAGTCTTAGAAAATAAACAACTTTCTATTTTGGTATATTTATTAACAGAAAAACGGAAAGAACGTTGAATTGTAATATCAATATACATAACATATTTTGTCATTTTTTACATGAGAAATAAATAATGCAGGAGCAGGAGTGGGAAGGGTCAGAAAAATAAGTGAAATTATTATTATTAATCATTTGGGTCACTATAGTTGGATATCGTTTCTTGAGAATTCGTCTTAATAAACGATATGTCATTTTAAACGGAGTCATTATATCCAAACTTTCCTATAAAGAATTTAATATGTAAACCAAACTTAACACTGCAATTACTTCATATTGGTTGGTCAATATAGGCGTAGTCATAATAAACGAATTCCACTATACATGTAATTTATTTGACCATAAAAAGGACTTTGAAATTAATTTATCCGTAGATGGAAGTAAAATAATTTTGAAATTTAATTAAAAAGGAATCGTGCGCTCGGTGTATATTAAATTATTGCTAAATTGCTGAAAATATGGATTTGAAAAAAATACCAATCAAATCACAAACAAAATTTTGTGACAAAATTTCAAGTCAGAATTAGAAATTTGTGAAACTAACAATTGTTTTGTTTCTAATTCATATTTAGTTTAATTAACATGTTTCACAATGTGACAAACAACCGCATAATTTCTATTGCTGAATTCATAATAGGTAATTTTCTTTTGCTTTCACGTAAAAATTGCCGAACCTATTGAATATGATTATATCAGTAATATTTAATTATAGATACCATTAATATTTACCAATACACCTATTCCTGAAGTAAGACAAAATTTTGAAATTCAATGAAATTCCGATGTGAAAGGCAGACTGATAACTATCTGGAAGTATCAGTCGGAAAATCTTTAAAAACTATTTAATATCTATCAGAAACTCGAGGTAATAATACTACCTAAAATATCATCAGCAACTTTAAAGAAAGTTGAAAACCTTGGAAATAAATTCTGATTAAGCATGTACCTCAAAATTGCATGCAAATTTAAGCAGTAATTAATATGCTTGTGAAGTACATTCACAAGCAATTGAATATAAATTTACTTACCAGAATAGGTATAAAATTTTAATTTGTACGATTTAATTTTTTATCCAACATTACCATAACTTAAAAGGGCCTTTTATAATTCTTTTCTTCTTGAAGACTTCGCTAAAATGTGATATGCATTAGTGTCTTTTGGTGGATAAATTATACGAGTACCAAGAAAACACTAGTAATAACGAATAACAATTTATAACAATAACAACGAAAACACAAATAACAAAAAGGCACAGGAAAAATGCAACAGACATATAAGAACAAAGTGACAAAAAGAGCAAGATAACAAAACAGTAATAATAACAAAGATAACAACAAAAATGAAAACAATGTAGAGAATAATAATAGAATAATAGAAGCACTTACGAATGGTGCTAGCGGTAGGCGAGAGACTTTCGATAAGATTTTTTTTTTTTTTTATGTTTTCGTGGAAGAGGGGAAATCTTCAAAAGACACCCAGCCGTCCGTACGACGATAAGAATTTTTGGAGGGTATTTATAGGATAGGGTTGTTAGTAGATTTGATAGAAGGTTCTAGAAGGAAAAGTAGTGAGAGAGAGGGTGAAAACACTAGTTTATAGGAATACATAGAATTAGACAGTACAGAATTCAAGAGAAAGCAATTAAGGGTAAAACCAGATATTAGTATGGGAGTGCATGCAGGTATGGTTGAAGTTGGATTTCCAGGTAAAAGTGATTGAAAGAACAATAGAGTTTAGATTGAAAGGAAACCAAAGTATTTACAAGATAAGAAGTTGAAAAGAATTGAAATAATATTTGAAGTGAAATAATATTCGAAATGAAATATTATTTGAAATGAAATATTATTTGGAATGGAAAAATTAGAAAAAATATTTAGACACAAAAACAAAACAATAACAGTTATTTCGGCACAGCATGGTTAGTAAAATAGTGTTTTCGAAAGCTGCTTTAAATATCAAAAATATGTTCTATACTCTATTAACTATTGCTTAAAGGCAATTTTCAGTTGGTTGTGATGAAAGGCTAACAAGAACCATTTTGGATTTATTCATAGGTCAAAAAATAGTAAAGGTATTGATAGTAAATATCAATGGATAATGAAAGTAGGGCATTCCCTCCTGAGTGTGAATTTCCACTCGAGCCGAAGGAGAGGGTGGAAACCAGGGGAAGGATAATAATAAAGTCCTTTCCTAGTAAAAAGTAAATGGTATTTCTTACCCAGGAAATTAGATTACTGTTCGTAAATAGTTAAGGATATGGGTTGTTTTAGTTTTAGGGAAATGAGAAGATTAGCTCAGGATAGGAGGTACGTGTCTAACCAGTCTTGGGACTGACGACGTTATGATGATGATCCAGGAGTGAATCCTCCGCTTCCGTCCATAAAATTAGGGAAAATAAATCATAGGCCATTAGTCCTAAGACTGATTGGACAAGCACCTCGACTCTTTCGATATTTAGATAACTAAACTGCTATAAAAATAAAGAACATAAATTATTAATTGGTAATTTATTGAATCTACCAAACTAAAGTTGTTCTGCAATTTGTTAATTCAAATAAGCTTTGGCGAGTTGATAAGGTCTAATTCGAAATTTCGATCTATATCGGGTAGTTCCTATAATGAGAGTAAAAAAGACAATAAGTAGGTGCAGGATCAGTTAATAATCGAGTTTTTGAGAGAAACATATTCTTTCAAAATATGCTGAAAATAATTCGCAACGCTAAGATGATTTCTATTTTATCCAAGAGAAAAACTAAACTCGCCTATTATTTTGAATGTTTATTTTTTTTTTAACAGACACAAGAGAAGATGTGGATATCGGTGGTTCGGTGTTACTTATCAGTGATTAGCAAGGCTCATGCGTCAGCTTCGAATAACTTCGCAACCATTATCACAAGTTCTTCAGTTAAGTTGTTATACGGTCAACGAAAAGACAGCGATTCGCGCGTTGTTTCTCGTTTATTCACATTAATTATGGAAGACACCCAGATTTCATTTTTGGAAACTACTAACTAATACCTGGGCACTATGTACATTATCCATCAGGTAAGATAAGTTACTCTTTATAAGTGATTCTAGAGTCGGTAGCTAAGCTTGTAGCGTAATCTTTTGCAGCTGAGAGAGCTGATAATAGGATATTTAAAACATAAAAATAAAACAACATAAAAACTAAAACTGATTATAAGTAAATCACCAATATTTTGACGTGTTAAGCATGTTAAAGACCAATATTTAGTCATCGTAGGATCATACATAAGAGTCGGTAGTAAGACAGTACAAACATTATACAAGGTCTGTTCAAAAAGTTTTGTGTTTTTTCAAAAATAATTTATTTATTCATGAATATCTATTTTGTCCCTCCCCTTCAAAGTAATCCCCACCGGATATTAAACACTTGTTCCAACGTTTTTTCCAATCCTCGAAGCACTTCAATAAATCATTTTTTGTGATCTTGTTCAGCTCCTCGTTCGATATCGTCCTTATCTCCTCAGTTGTAGCGTAGCGTTGTCCTTTCATGGGTCTCTTCAGCTACGGTGACTGCAGCCAATTTTTGTTCTTCCACAAATCCAGGCGGTTTTGGCGGTTGCTTCGCGCAAATTGCGCATAACTTCCAAGTTTTATTCCTTATTGACCGTTCTGCCCTGCGGCAGATACCCATTGTATTTGACGGATTCTACTACATAGTCGGTATTATAAAGTGCCATATGCTAATAGTACATTCAATACAGAGTGGACAGTAGATAATACCCCGAACTTACGGAATAAGTGGGACCGAGCGATAACCGCGAAAGTCGAATTTGCTTAAGTCGGGATACCTTCAATTTTGCATTTAAATTCATACAAATGATGTTTAATTAGGACCATAGACTAAAGAATATAGTAATTTATAAGAAAAATGTGCACATAATCTTATTAGATAACACAACGAGTTTTATATTATGTAGTAGATATGAATTGGAAGCAGGTAGATTATTTTAACGTATGTAGCAAAGATTGTTCAAAGATTTTTCTTCTCGCACAAAATTTCCTTCCGTCTTTTATTCTGTCTTCTATAGTAGCGCTCATCGTTGGGGTCGGTTTTCCAAAATCTGTAACCTTTTTCCATTAAAACTAAAATCGAGAAGCCTAACGCTATTAGCGATGAGTCTTACCAGTCGTATGGTTCTTAGTCTTGCTTATTCGATCTTGTAGCTTCATCTTGGTGGTACAAATTTTTCCATTTACCGTTACAATAATTTTCCATCATACACGCGCCCTTGTCATGACTTTTAAAGAAAATAGTGTCGATAGCAGAGATGTGATTTATTAGAAATACTTGCATTGCAAATGCAAATACAAAATAAAAAATACATATTTTTATCTTGCATTTAAATACCTTTTTGAGAAAAGCATTTTGTATTTTATTTCAAATACTTTTCCAAACGTATTTTCTATTTGTAAAATGCAAAATATATATTTGCCGCTAAAAGTTTTGCTAGTGTCATCGATCAAACATTGTGTAAAATGATGAATGAAAGTTGCTCACATTGGCCGTTGATGGTATTAGAAGCTTAAAAGGGGGATAAAGAGACATTCCATGAATGTCTTCTAATTCTTTAACTGAAGAGAGTCCAAAAAATTCTAAATTCCTTGGAAATGGATAATGTAAAATATTGAATCGATATTGTTTTCTGGGTTCAATGTTCAAGTTCCAAATTGATATCGGCACCTGTCAAATCACCACTTATCGTACCATTAGCAATTCANAAAAATTTTTTGTTCCAAAAAAGAATATATTGAAGTTTCAAATAAGTAGTTAAACTTTTTAAATAATAATTTTTGTTTAGTCTTGCGTATTTGATCTTTGGCATGCATATTCGGTCTTGGTTTTAGTCTTTGTCTTGTTCGTTTGGTCATGGTTTTAGTCTTTGTCTTATTCGTTCGGTCTTGGTTTTAGTCTTGATATTTTTCGTTCGGTCTTATTTTTAATACGAAGACCAATTTTACTCATCACTAGACGCTATTTAAAAGTTTTTGTGAAATTTCATCCAATAATTGTCCAATAATCTCATAACCCTGACTGTCTATATTACTTCATATATCTATACATCATAAAAGTAAAACGGAACCTCTTACAGGGGTCACTCACGGTCCATACGATTGTCCGTTTGTCACAGTCTATTTGTAAGCTGTAGTAGTACATTTTATTAATACACATATTTTGCACTGGTTAATACTCAAAGTACTATCATAAAATTTAAAGAAGAAGCAGCTAAGTAATTACTCTTTTTTAATATATTATGTTATAATTTCAAACAATACTTCTAAAAGATATCCTGAATGAGTTTTCAAATTTTTGAAGGGTGTTGTGTGACTTATTGTTCTTTATAATTTTTACTGGAATATAAATCCATACATCATTGAAATTAACGCGTTCGTCAACAACCGAGGAAGTAGAAATAAGACATAATTAATTCTTAACATATGTATATATAATATCCAGTTGTCCTTTACATATTCATATTGCTTGTGTTATGTTTTTGTCAAGTAAAACAAGCAATAAGTTGTACAAAGGTTAGTGAAAGTTAGAAAATATTTTATTGCACCGAATAATTGTAGNATATTCGCTCTTTCCCTACTTTTTCTTCCCTTGCATACCAGTATTTTAGTTTTACTTTTATTTATTTTCATACAGTACTGATCTGTCAGTACCGCTTCCATTTTATTTAAAGCTATCTCTAGGTCCTCCTTGCTAGATGTTAATACTGCTATATCATCTGCAAATCTAAGCATACTTATCTTTTGCCCTTGCACATCTATCCCTACAGTTGTACTGTCTTTAATGATGTTGATGGCGTCTTCGATGTATAGATTAAAATGAAAAAGATCAAATAAATTCTTTTGCACAGAAGCGACCCGACTTTTATCCACGCGAAAAACCAGGATAGAGTAAATGCTGAAAATTTTTAATCTCTCAGTTATAGAGACGTTTTAGTAATAAATTCGAAAAATCCAAATCGTAATTTTCAACGTATTCTGAAACATTGCTAAATAATTTGGAAAAGTAGGATGAGTAGTAATAACAACATAATCTGAAGGAAAACTCTTAACATTCGTCTCTCTGTTCAAACAAAAAGATTGGAGAAAGTGAATTTGGGAATTTCTTGAAAAATATTTGTTTATTATTTTATATTGTGTGGTTGGCCATGTGGATTTCATGTTACACTGAACGCACCCTTGCTTGCTATTGTCTTGGTTTTGAATCAAATAGTATCGAACATGTACACTAGTGTATGTATCTATATGTCTGTAAGGAAAGCATTTGTGAATAATCACATACATTTTTAATTTACGCTAATATTAACATTACTTATCTCCTCAGAGGCTAAACTAAAAATATAAGATTTGTCTACATATTTTTACTACACTCCCGACTAATTTAAATAAAAGGTCATACATAATTGTGAAAACAGGAAGGGCGTCAAGTTTAGGCATTGCCGTGAATGGCAGAAATTCACGTTACGCCACTGGTGTGTTATGAAGTAAATGTAAGTGTTTCATTCATCACTTTGGGTCCTTATTATTCGATTTTCAAATTTGGTCCCGCAAAATTTAGGTTTTTACAGTGCAGTGGTTCAAGCCAATTTGGGTTTGTATAATGGCAAAGTATTCTGAAGTGGCATGTGTTTTGAAGAATGGATTGTTGGAAAATCGAAAGAAATTATTCTTCATTTCGAGTCCTTTTTAACTAAGTTTTAAGTTTGGATGATCAAAATTTTGCTCTTAACAGTACTTCAACTGAAGGCGGATTTAATAAGGAGGTGCAAGCGGTGCACTCTGCATACTCGACTGGAAATAAGTTCAGTATGGGGTCCGATCCGGATCAGGATTGCCTGATGATTGATCACGGATAAATCAGGGTTCCTGATCCGGATATAATTAAAAATCTTCACGCCATACCTATATGATCCGCACAGGATCTGTTAAAAAGATCTATACCAAACGTGTTTCAAAGATCCATGCTGGATCCGTTTTTCAAAAATTCATGCTGAATCCATTTCAAAAATCTATGGTCGGTCCATTCAACAGATCCATGCCCAATCCCGCCGAAGGATCCATATCGGATCCTTTCAAAGGATCAAGATTAATTTTGTTTTTACATATTAATTTGGCATTAAATAAATATTACTATTTTAAAATAATTCGAAGTGGTCTGTATTCTGTCGAAACTGCCAGACGCGGATCGCGATATCGATCTTTTTGGATCTCATCAGCGCGTCGTAGGCAGCTCCGACAGAACACAGACCAACTTTTACCTGCTGTCTTAACAGNATAAAAAACTAAATTCTGTATTATGATCCAGTTCAGAACGTCGGATACAATTTTGCTTTAAACAACATACCGAAACTGTAATAAGATTCCTAGTATTAGATTCTGATAAGGAACTGATTAGATGATTGATCAAGGGATAGGCTACTGTACTTTGATCAGGAACTGATCAGATAGACGGATCGAAGGAAAGGATACTGTACGCTAATCAGTTCCTGATCAGGTGATCAGATCAACGGATAGAGTACTGTACTCTGATCAGGAACTGATTAGATGACCGTATTACGAAAAGTCCAATCCGGATTTGATCATAATCCGAGTTCCCTGAAATTTTCGGTAATTTAGGAATTTTACAGGCAAATGATGAGGATACCGTAGATAGAGAAGGTTAGAAATGAAGAGGTGTTAGAAAGAATATGAGAACAGAGGACTCCTTTGAGGTCAATAAGAAATAGGCGAGATAGGTTGGAAGGACATCTTTTCATGCATGAAGGTCTAGACAGAGACATATTAGAGGGGTAGAGGTAGACCTATATTAGATTACTGTTCGCAAATAGTTAAGGATGTAGGTTGTTCTAGTTTTAGGGAAATGCGAAGATTAGCTCAGGATAGGAAACAGTGGTGGTGCATGTCCAACCAGTCTTGGGACTGACGATCTTATGATGACGATGATAAGGAATTTTTAATTCATTTTTTAATTTTTTTTTTCGAAAACCTGCATCAAGTCCCCCAATGTTCAAGATCCGCCACTGAAGATCCAAATTTATTAAATTATTATTCAGAAAAGCTTCGATTCTGTCGGATTCTATTACAGGTGCGGCCAAATTTACCAAACGAAAGTATTGTATTTTTAAATTTATTTAAAAAAAGTGCTGATTTAAATGTTTCTATAAAATTGGGTTTACACTATGTGGCAAACGTTGTATAACATTTTAGTTGGGAACTTTTTACCCCTCCTATATGTTACATGTAGCAAATGGTGTATGTTACATATAGCAAATGGTGTATGTTACATATAGCAAATGTTATGTATGATTAGTGACGTGAATTCTACATGCTACATATTACAAAATTCAGCGCGACTGCGATAAGTGACTGAAAATGGTACTTGTAGCAGATGCCAGACGAAAAATGTGCATAAAACATTGCAGCATATAGCAAAAGCTATATATAGCACGTGTTTCTTTGATCTTTACCTACTTTAAATGCAGAAGTTTTGCTAAATGTATAGCATTTAAAACAGCCATTTTTTACTTGCAGTAAATGTTATATGTCTATTGCTAAATGTTATATGTAGCACGATTTGCTATATATAAGTAATTTTTCTAACTGTTAGCAGATGTTACATAAATTTTGCTAAATTTAACATAGTAGGTTTTGCTACGTAGTGTAAACGCGGCTTAATAAGTTACTTGTTTTATGGTAGTTTCATATGTTTTCACTTTTTTTTTTGTTTCAAAACAAATTAATAACAGCTATTGCATCAAAACATTCAATAAAGGCAACTTAACAGTTTTTTTTATCTGTTTAAAGGATGTTGCTTCTCTAAGTTGATTTTAATCGATTTGTTTTATTTATCACCAAGTGTTGCGTTTCTTTGCCGTCCGTTTTCTGTTTCATTCATTGGGGTAGTTAGGGGCAATTACCACGAAGTAGTGTATGTAACGTGTAAAAAAACAAAATGTAGTTCATTTTAAAATGTGAACTGCCGTTAAAGTTGAACATTTATTTATTAATAAATGTCCTTTTGAAATTCGTAATAAAAGTGATTTTTAAGAAATAGCGCAAAATGTTTTGTTTAATTTGAGATTGTTAGATAAAGTGAAAAGTAAAGTAAAAGTAATTGTACCTCGTTGTAAATTCACGCCACTTATTATACCAGTGGCGCAGCGTGGGGGTGGTTCAAAGGGGGGTCACGGGCTCCTGTCGGCGTGAAAGAATCAGATCCGCCGCAGAGTAATGTCAGATATTTCTATTTCTTGGTTTTTATACGAGATACTAATAATTTGTACCATGCAGCAAGACATTACCGTCTTGGTTGACAAAATTACCAAGATTTTTGTCTAACAATTTGAGAAAAGCTGTCTTGTATCTAATCGTAAAAACGGAAAAATTTTATAGCCAATATAACAATGAATGTCGAATGCTCGGACCCTAACTAAATTCACGCTACGCCACTGTATTATACAAAATCAGAATGATTCTTTAAAAGCCTATCTTATACGTATTTAAAACAAATAACTGCAACTAAATGGCTAAAATTTGACTTCCGACATAATCGGATGTGCTCTTTCCAAGTTGCATATATTTTCATACCGGATGTGACCATCAACTTTCTTATTTTGAATGTAACACCATCTGCATATTTTTACATTTTTGAATTCTAAACTAAATCGAAAGTGTAAATAAAAAACATTTAGTTACCTATACACTAATTTATTGAGAGAACTTCGACAACACCTTCTTTCTGGATAATATTGACATTTATTTCGCTCACAAGATAAATATAATTTAATTTGTCTCACAATAAATGAAGAAATTCTGTGCNTTATGGAGTAGGAGTTAAGTGGAAATTAATTTGGAGATGACTGAAACAACAGAATGCCTGCAGTGGTATTCCTCTTGGACTTGGCTTGCTCATTGCACTTATGGACTTTAGAACGCTACTTTCTGCAGTTACTTAATTAAGGTGAGATTGTACGACAATATTAAAAGGCTTAATTAATCTTATGGGTTATTGGTCTTACCAATTATCTATGATTCACTGTTTAAATCGAGGTTAACGTGTATCTAACGGTATTTAATCTCTATATGTCTATTGTACGCATCATAAATTGGCATCGTGCAACGTACATCTATGATTGACATTTAGTGATGTCATGATGTAAATCGACGTGTCGCCATTTTATTTTAATTCAGCTATTTTGGTTGCTGTTTGGTGTTTCTTTTTAGATTGTTTTGTTCTTTCCTTAATTAATAGTGCAATTAATAAATTTTTTTCGTCCATTTCTGCAGAGTCCAACAAATGAGTTCAGTTTGGCGCTACTCGAACTAACGTATATCTAACGGTATTTAATCTCTTTATATGTCTATTGTACGCATCATAAATTGGCACCGTGCAACGTACATCTATGATTGACATTTAGTGATGTCATGATGTAAATCGACTTGTCGCCATTTTATTTTAATTCAGCTATTTTGCTTGCTGTTTGGTGTTTCTTTTTAGATTGTTTTGTTCTTTCCTTAATTAATAGTGCAATTAATATATTTTTTTCGTCCATTTCTGCAGATTGTCTAAGAAATAAGTTCAGTTTGGTCCTACTGAAACAACCAATGTTTACATGGGTGTGGTTTCATGTGGATTATATTCTTGGTTTGCTGTTTTCGTCTTCGCCTTACAACATTGTGCAGTTAACTTTCAACCGATGAGTGATAGCAACTGGATATTTATTTGAATTCCACCGAAATAAATTCTCTGCTACAAGGTGTTTCTCCTGCAGTTGGTTTGCTTTTTACACCTGTGAACTTTGGAACGTTACGTTCTACAATTAATTAAGGTGAGATAGAAAAGGTGGAGGTGTTCAAATTCAAAGTTGGCGGGCTGCTGTATGACGCGAAAGAAAAAAGTTACACAAAACACAAGCTTCGTGCCTTTAAGGCTTCAAGTTCGGTCATGTTAAACTTTTTTGGCCGCCAAGCGAAGTGTCGTCTCATCAGTTTTAAGTAGGTAAGAAATTAAAAATTCAGAGCAATAAATAATTGTTATGTGCCATGCAAATATCGATATGTAATCAATTAATTTTGCTGATCACGATATGCATGCTGGGTTTTTCGATTATTTACTTTTTCTTAATATTTTCGATATTACTCTTTCAATATACTTATATTAAGAACAGACGGTAAGGTCATATTTTTTTTTTTAAATTAAATTTTAAATTACCGCAATGTTGATGTTTAATTTAAACGTAAAATAATTAATGTAGACTTGATATACTTTTTCATCTATGCTCTATAGTTTCTTCCTTTCGCAGTTATCTACTGTCCATCGCATAATTGACAGAATTACTTATTCTATCTATGAACTCTATACATCTTTTTCATTTTGCCTGATCTTGCCATTTTGTATTAAATGCGACGATACGTCGCCATTTTTAAAATTCATAATTTTACTTGCTTTTCGGTGCATATTTTAAGTATTGTATTTCATGTTTTAATTGTTTAATTGTATAGTTTATTATTTTTTCTTCTCTATTTTTACAAATTGAAGATAATTAACAGTGGACGAGTGTTCATTTTATAGCAACTGAAAGAGCAAGTTGTCTCGTTTTTTGTCATGGTGTTCTTTTCATTTTGGAGGATCTTGTAGTTAATTAAGGTGAGGATTCGTGTTATAATATATAAGTAAATATTTTGTATTTCCGATTAACTTAATACTTGTATTTTTCCAAAACGACCTTCATATTTTTCTTTAGATTCTAATTGACTTCATAACTTTTTAATGAGCGCGTTAGGTAATAAAAAATCTTCTAGGTATCTGTTGTTAATTACGATTTTTATTTTTGAACATCGTTATAAATGACCTACACTGTAAAGCGGATTTACTAATTTTTATAAACTGCTTTCCTCATTTTTGTTTTCATTTTAATTTGTTATGAGTAATATTTTTGATGGTCCTTGTTATAATGTGGTGGACGGCAAAAATGTTTTCTTCTATATTAGACACAATCACGTTTGCCGCATACTAATATTAGGTATCACAAATTCTCAGTATTCGTACCAGTTTTTAATAATTTTTATCGTGTAGCTAGACATTATCGTCTTGGTTTGTGAAAATACCAAGATTTTCGTGTTGATAAAAATCTGTAAAAAGCAATTGTCTTCTGAGTTTTTGAAGCATTGCAAAGGTATAAAAAGGCAATTTATGTACCTAGCGATAATAGAAATACTGAAGTTCAGCAGAGTGGATGTATAATTTACTTCTTTATTAATTTGGAAATGGATTATCAAAATTTTCTTGCTATTTTGAGTTATGTATGTAAATTAAGTAAGTTATGTGAGAGCTTTGGAAATAACATTCTTAATTCTACATTTGTTTCTAATAAATTAACACTTTTCAGATTAAATTAATTATTTTGTTGTCTCATATGAAAAAGATCATCATCATCATCATCATAAGGTCATCAGTCCTAAGACTGGTTGGACACGTTGGAGGTACGCGTCCAACTAGTCTTAGGACTCTTTCCTATCCTGAGCTATACTTCGCATTTCCCTAAAACTAGAACTATTTGTGAAGAGTAATCTAATCTAGGTCTACCTCTACCTCTCCTCACTCCTGTTTCTTCCTCTAATATGTCTCTGACTAGACCTTCATGCCTGAGAAGGTGTCCTACCAACCTATCTCGCCTAGTTTTTTTTGACTTCCATAGAGTCCTCTGTTCTCCTATTCTTTCCAATACCTCTTCATTTCTAACCTTTTCTACCCACGATATCCTCATCATCCGCCTATAACACCACATTTCGAACGCT